TCACTTCATGTGTAGTAAACTAAGTTTTTCTTGCTCTCTGGATGACCAGTTTGGCAGCTGCAGTCCTGGCAAGCAAGTGCAGTGGCCGAGAGCTCAGGGCACTGCAGCATACCAATCTGGGTCAACTTTCAAATCTGATTTATTTAGAAGGTCCGATGCAAAAGACAAGAAAGAAGTGAAGTCAACTAAAGTCCTGCATTCAAAATGTCACTTGAATAAAAGTATGATCGGGGAGTGGCAGTGTCAAAAGAATCAAAGTATCAAAAGTGAAAGTACTTATTTTGCAGCTGTGGAGTCAAATATTTCTCTTTGAAATGTTGAGCAGTAGAGGTATAAAGTAGCCTAAGATAGAAATACTCAAGTGAAGTTCAAGTACATCAAAATTGTGCTTAAGTGCATCACTTAAGTTATATTCCACCACTGATAATATGTCCCTGTGATGGCCATGCCCACAGCCACACAAAAGGTTGAATGATTCACATACTTACCCACACCATTACCACATGTTCAGTTACCTTTAATTTATAGTCACTTAAATACATACAACACCAGTTTGTTTAGCTTAACATTTATTAGCACTTTGGTAACACACTGTTTTCTACACTGTTCTGTCATTTTGCTATTTGCTTTTCTAAGTTATTAATTCCTTTCTCTTTGTATTTGAGTCACCTGAAGTCACTTCCTGGTTGGAGTTGGGCAAAAGATGGGGCTTAGGGCTAATGACTTGTGCTGCTGCTCACAAGTGTCCAAAAAAATCCATTAATTCTCCTCTAAATGATAAGAGAATTCTTTTAGATACAAAACAAAGAGTGGAATTTATGCATTTCGTTCAATAATGCAGCAATTAAATCACCACTTCAGTTTTACTGAATAAAGTTTCCATTGCTGGTGCACTAAAAGGAGCAGTGTGTAGGATTTAGTGGTATCTAGCGTTGAGGATTAAAACCAGCTGAAACTTCTCCCATGTGCTAACAAGAACTCCAGGTTAGGATTCCTTGAGCGTTTATTGTCCAGGAGGTTTAAACCAGGAGCTGAATTACCTGCAGAGGTCTCCTCCTCTCCGAAACAAATGGACCAGGTGACTAAAACTGGAAAAAAGCTGAATAAAGCAGTTTTGCATTACAAATCAGTGTTTTTCTGATGCTTCTTGTCGTAGAGGGGCTGCTAACTACAGCGTCTGACACGAAAAAATAATATAGCACTATCTAAAACCAGTGTTTTGTTTGTCTCTTCTGGGCTACTGTAGAAACATGGTAGTTCAACATGCCAATCTCTGTGGACAAGGACCGACTCCCTATGTAGATATAGACGGCGCATTCTAAGGTAACAAAACCACAACAATTCTTATATTCAAGTGATTATACACTAAAGAAGGAATCATTATATTCCATTTCTGCCAATAAATCCCCCTAAATCCCACATGCTGGAGATTTGATAGGCTCCTTGCCCCATTGTTGTAACCATACAGCTGAGTTAATGTGAGGTGTTAGTTCTGCCACCAGTGGGCAGCAGAGTGCTGTCTTTAAATCTATAGAGAGAGTTTTGTTTAGGTTTTTAGTATAATTGGTTCATCTTTTCAACTTAAACATCACTTTTGACCTGGTCTGATTTATAAGACAAACACATAAACCCCTTTAACAGAAAACACTGATCCAGACTCCCCCATGGACGAGCTGTATTCTCCCAGCGCCCCATGAAATGCCTGTATGCCCTCTGGTATGAGAGCCTGTTGTTAGGGAAGTGTGTGTGTGGGGGGTGAAGGAAGAGAAACATCAGGGCGCCTCCTGCCAACTGTCTCTGCCTGAAATGACAGAGACAGGTGCTCTAAAATCACCGCTTTATACCAGAACTCTCTCACACACACACACACACACACACACTCATGGACACACTGACACATGGAAGCATGCCGACACCCACTCAGCATGCACAGTCAGCCTGCCAGCACACTCAATTATTTCACTGCTCTACTTTCTAATATGAGAGTTTCCAGACTGTAGTATCAACAGTATCTTTGTCTACTGTACACCCGTAACTCAGTGTTTCATTTGTGTAGTTGACTCCTTGTTTATGTTGTTAACATGAGTTTTTGGGGTTTTAACATGAAAATAAAGAAGTTTCTGTGTGGTGAGAGATATTCCAACGTGGTGTTGTGTTGTTTACTCTCTAAAGATCCATATCGACCTTTGACCTGAGCAGACTTGCTGATAGGGTCTTGAAAGTAGAGCTCAGGAGATCCAGCTGTCCCATAGTGCCAAACACATCCTTCCTGCTGGTTGCATCTCTCCTGAGAACATACACCCGACAAGGTAAATGAACTTTCTCGCTCTGTTTTCCCGCCTAAGTTGGACTACAACCACCTCTTCTTGCAGCAGAGGCAGTTGCGTCAACACTTCATCAGTCATGGCGGCGTTTCCGTCAAATTTTGAGTATCGCAGACATGGAAATCTCTGCTTTGACATCACCCACTGAGAGCCATAGATCTTCATCTTCTGCTTTGACATGAGTGTTTAAAATAGCAGGAGATCAAAGAGTTCTGGATGAATGTTCTGAATGTGAGGGCACGGCACAGAGCACGTCGGACAGCAAGGTTACGTATGCGGCCTTATGACATGAAGGTTGATCTGGATGAGACGGATTTAAGAAGAAAACAAGCGCTAAGCTACTTAAAGCCTTAAACAAAAGAGAATGTTTTGCTGTGTATGGGGGCTGTAAAAGAAATGTTTTTATTTCTATTTTCTTCTCAGTGTTGCAGCAACAGATGTCGAAAGAGTTATGAACAGATCAATGAACAGATCGATGTAGAGTGTAGTCAAGGCAGTGCTGTGGTACTTGAGATCAGTCTTGGTCTTGAGACACCTTTTGAAGGTCTTGGTCTTATCTCGGTATTGACCGCATTTTTACTTGGTCTTGTCTTGGTCTCGGAGAAAGGTGACTCTGGATTTTACTTCAAGACTGAACAAGACCACAACTGCAGGAATATAACTTAAGGTGCTTTCAGACCTAGAGTTCGCTTTCTTTAGTCCGAATCAGAGACTCATTTTGTTAGTTGCATAAGTTGCAAAATTGCCTAGAGTTGGTTTGTGTTCTCACCGCAGCATTTACAAGCGGACCAGATTAAATGCCTTTTGTGACAAAGTTGCTCTTGATTGTTCAGAATTTCCATGTGGGAAAAATCCAGGAAGTCAACAAAACGTTGAAGAAGAGTACACTTGCAAGATAAATGTGACACTTTCTAATGTCACAATGGAGGGACAACTACGCAGGTTGATTTTAGCGCTGGTCATTGTGGACTATATTGCTGTCATTGTTCATTTTAGTCAAACCATACAGTTTGAAAACGAGGCGCGTCTCCAACTAGAAAACAATGTTTTGATGCATTGGATGTGTTGAATGTGCATATTAAGCCAGTACAGGAGGAGGTGCACATTAATAATCCTCCAGGACTGTAACATGCTCATGTTTGTTTAACCCAAGAGGTGAATGAAGAGGAATCTTCATTTGTTTTCGTTGGGTGTATTTATAGGAATGTGGCTCTTTTAGTGTCTATGGTTTATATGTTCCACATTTTATTATAAGTGTGTCAGGCAGCATAGGAGTTGTGTTAGTGTGGTTTTGTTCTCAACCCCTCAAAGTCTTGGCCTTATCATGATCTCGCTACACTCAGGTCATGTTCATGAGTGGGTCTCAGTTTAGGTGGTCTTGACTACAACATTGGGTCAAGGAACTGCTGAATAGATTTTTTTTTGGTAATTTTGTGCTAGGATTGGTATCATTGGCTGTTTTTCGGCCTTAATAAAATCTGAAAAATAAATACCGGAGGCTCACTGAGATCGTTATTTGCATCCAAATCTATAGAATGCAATATAATAAGGCTATCATTTTTCAGTTTAAAGTTATAGAGGTTCTGCTTTGGATGTATCTGCAAGTTGTGGAATAGTTCTGATTAGAGCTGAAACACTTAGTTGACTGATTAATTGACTGATAGGAAAATATTCACCAACAGTTTTGTTCAAGGTTTAGTGCTGCGGTAGGCAACCTGAGTTTCCGAGGCTGCATGCGGCCCCTTAGCCCCTCTCCTGTGGCTTTGACCAAATATTAGGCAACATGGAAATGAATCGCGGTTATTTCTGAATTTTAATTTTAATTTTCATTGATCAATGTTGTAGACCTAAGGTGATTCTAACATAATCAAATTGTAAAAAATTGTAACCTATAGGCCTACAACAAATTTACAAAATGAAAATAACATTTCGTCAACGAAAATGTGACTCATAGCAGCGTCTACGGCCTGGTGCCTTTTCTCTAAATTCTGTGAAACATCAAGAGCAGTGGTTTGTCTTGAGTCTCCTTAGCGAAGGTAGCTGAATGGAAAAGTCTTGGAGGAAAATATTTAATTGTATAGAGCATAGACCGATTTGTTTGCTTTTGCTGCAAGGTACCAAATATTCATAAATACTTGACTGCAAAGTAGCCACATTATGGTAATGGAAACCACGAATCGCCCTACCTGGAGCCAGTTTAGTTTGTTTAGTTTGTCCGTTCTGGGCTACTGTAGGAACATGGCGGGCCCCATGGGAAAAGACCTGCTTTTTATGTAGATATAAACAGCTCATTCTGAATAAATTAAAATGTGTTTTTTTTTATTTTCAGGTGATGATACATCAAGGACATCATGTTTGTAACTGCCGATATATCCTGCTAAATCCCGCACACTGGACCTTTAATCGATTGTTTAATAACTGAGTAATTTCTTTCAAGGAGAAATGACAAACATTTCCAGCTTCTGTTTGTTTCTGTTTCTGCTTTTGTTTGACATAATTGTAAACTGAAAATCTTTGGGGTTTAGACTGTTGGTAATTTCATATTTCCTGCTTTGCATGTGTCCAGATTTTACATATTGTCTGTCTTTTTGTCTCTCTGTAAAGCACTATTGTTTGAACAGTGTTAAAGTTTACTTACTTGCTTTCAGCTGGTGGAGACAGTGTCTCTGTCTGCACCACCAACAGCTGCCCTGCTTCTCTCTTCATCTACCTCTCCGTCTCTCTGTTGCTCTCCTTCTTTCTCTCATCGGTCTGTGAGTGACAGCACATGTGCTGGGGTACATGGGAGGGCCGCTGCTGAAATTCTAGCCCCTTACCCCACGACTGTGAGACATACCCCAGCTATGGACAGGGAGGAGCTGTGAGAGACAAACGCTGGGAGAGGAGAAGAGGGGGAGAGAGAGACGCCGAGAGCAAGAGGGTTAGAGAGGAGGACAGAGAGTGGCAGGTTTCAGGGTTGGAGAGTTTGGCCTTTTTCGCCCAGTAGAGCCACTCAGGAGCCCAGGTCTTAGTGGAGGACTCTCAGATCTGACAGTCATCAGAGGTCTGTTCATACTGAGCTTCTGAGTGCAGGCACTGAGGATGGCGGTGCGGATGTTGATGGTGTGTGTGCTCGGCGCCCTGCTTTGTCAGGTGAGTAAAATCATGTCTCTTCATAGCTGCTGTTGACGACAATGAACAAAATGTGTTGATTTATTTGAGTGTTTAAGTGCTTTTGTTTGTTGTCTGTGTTTTGTGGGACAATATTATCTTTAGTTTTTGATTTAGTTTAACTTCTGACGTTAGAGCACAGGTGCCTGAGCAGTAGAGCTAGTTCACCTCTCCACTGATTGCTATAAAAATGTCAATAACAACAACTTGCACCTATTGGATACCTGCTATAAAGGTACTCCACTTGCCCTTGAGTCGTACTGTGCAATACTCCCTCTGTCTCCTCACTCTGTTGTATGGATCTAAATTCAGTCTACCTCCCAATTTTTGAAGACTTCCTGTCCCTTTAGAGTGTGATCCTGTTTACAGAATAACCTTTAGCTGCCCTGCTCTTCAAATACACAGTTTATGTTTTCACCTGAGTGATGTCTTCAACCAAACATCAACTGATTTTCATCAATACAGGCACTAAACTGGCTCTGCAATCAGAGGTTTAGGCTGCTCTAAACATTTCACCCCAGTTGGAAAGAGGATGATGAAGTGTTTTGAGGAGGACGAGACTCCAGATGTGTACACAGGGCTCAGGGCATCATTAGTAGCCCCTGTCAGCAGACGCCATTATGAGATCTAAAATGGATGACAATGTAAACTGACATATTACCAACAGCACTTCCAGCCACCATCAGTCTTTCCCTCTGTTTGGAGAAGTAATGGAGCCCAGGTTGGGAGGGTGACTGAGTTGGCCTCCAGTGACTCTTCAGGGAAGTCTTGCTGGGATGTGCTTTATAAGTCATTGTAAATGTTGCAGATGCTGTGGAGCTGAAATGAATCGCTCAAATTTCAGTCGGTGAGGTATCTCTGAGTTTGTCAAACATTCTGCAAATTTTCAGTTCCTGTGTGGTTGAAAGTTTTATGGTGAATTTAAGCTGCTTTTGTGCTCCATGTTCATATCCCATGGCTAATTGATTGAGGAGAAAACCACTAAAAAATATGTGTTGTGTCTTTTTAACATGGGAATGACTGATCACTGATACAACTGCAGGGAAAACCAGTTTGTCACAGTGAGGCCTGAGCTCTACACAAAAGATATTTCAGTCAAATCCACAGGACCTTAGTTATAATTTCATTCATTACTTTCCATAAAAACAAAAATAAACAAACCCAACACCTGTAAACTTCGAGGCGTGACCTTTAAGATGCAGGATTTCACTCTTCAGGATGGATGCAGATATCGGAGAACTGCTTAAGCTCCGTGCGGTGAGGCAGACATGGGGTTAAATTGCGCCTTCAAATGCCAGAGGTGTAACAAGCCCACGGTCCCCTAATAACAACAAGTGGCTCCTTAAGTTTGTTTACGGTGTGGTACTTTTTAGAAATGGAAACAGTCTGCTCTGCCAAAAATATTTCTTTTGGGTATGAAATAGTTGAGGCTTGAAAGGTGGCTCCGAAAAGTTTACAGCTGAGTCCTTTACAAGGAACAGCAGACTTAGTGGACTCCAATGGTATCCTAACATCACAGCAAAAATAGTCCAACCAGTCCTCACTTTTCCAATAAATCGCTTAAATACGCTTCGTCCGTTGGAGTCCATTTGAAATGCAGTAAGTTGGAGCTGACCACAGCTGCCAGCCTCCACAAAGAAACAAGCTGAAAACCTTTTGAAGCCACCTTTCAACACTTACAACAGCTGGAAACGCCAAAGATACATTTTTGGTGAAGTATTCCTTTAATGAGTGTTTCTACATCATTAATGGGGCCTTTTACAGAATCTTGAGTCTTTGTTTTTCCTCCATGTTGGAAGAGGACAAATTCCTAGTTGCTAAAAGACACAAACAAAAGGACGTTAAGTATCGTCTCATTTCTGGTAACAAACCACAGACTAGATTTATCACTGCACAAAATGTACACATTGTCTTCACATGTTGCAGGTGTCCATGTTGGACATATACACAAAACGTTTGGACATGGCTTCTGTTCAATTAAACTAAAACTAATACAAATTTGTCACAGTTTAAAAAATGCATATACATCTAAACCATCAGCAGCTGTCAGTCCAATCCGAAGGCTTTGATCGGCGTCACCTGATACCTTTCAGTTGTTCTCTATTAATTTTCAGTGAGCTGCTGTTGTTTTGAACTGGCCAGTGTTCAGGCCCACTGGGTGTTGTGGCGAGGAGTGGGCAGCAGCCACAGCTGTTCCCAGATGCATACGTGATGCCATTTGTCCCGCTCTGTAATCCCCCCCTCTCGGAAAGAGGAGTGGGCCGTTTCTGAACCATGAAATCGGGTACAAATCAAGAGTCTGTTGCAGCGGCCAGCTGGTGCTGAGGTCTCACTCATCGGAAACAATCAGTCAGACGATTTAGAGTGTGAATCAAAGGTCCTGCTGGGTGTGGATACCTGCAGGCTGTTTTACACTGACTAGGGTTTCAGAGGGAGCAGAGGGTAGAGACACAACTTCTGGATTGTTAAAATTAAATGACTCAACAGTGAAGTGCTTTTTTTTTTTTTAAAACCTCATTATTTTTATGGACCGAGACATGAAAGACCAAGTGGTGACAGTTGCTGTTTTAGAGGTCATGCACAAGAACGAGCTTGCAGCTACATTACAGTGGGTTTGTCATCCGTGCCAGTTTGTATCTACAATGAATAAGTTAATTAACCCACGCAGAGATTTTTTAAAAGACGGCCTTTAGTTACCACAAAAAGACGTCACCATATTACACAAAGCTTTTTTTTTCCTAATTGGTAAAGATTTTATTTTTCAATTTGTACTTGTTTATAATAAACTTTAAACCCCCTTTTTCACTTGAAAATTCCCTTTAAACTTTGTTTTGTTTTTTTAAGGAGTTGTATGTATGACATTCAGAACATTAATATACCGTATATAATGTACTTGCTATTTACTATGTAAAGATATGATGGAAGAGCCCGGTCTTACTCTGAAGTCGTCGAAATCCAGTGCTTAGTCAGTGACTTGCAGCTTCAGAAACCAACAAAAAAATGCGTCCTTTAACGTCAGCATGATATGCGGCCGGTTGCTGTTGTTGTTTAATGGTGTCTGGCAGCATCAGGGGGAAACGCGGCGGGACAAGGACGAAAGTTAAGGCAGCAAAAGTCCAACTGGGGCGGGTGTGAGGGTTGTGGATGGGTCAAACAAACATCGACTTTCACCCAAGAGAGCTGTGTTCGTTTGATCCACCACTTGTCAGATAACACTGTTTACTATTTTTTTCTCCATGGTTATTGAGCCCTACTTTTAGTCTCTGTTTAATAATACAACCTTGCTCAGCATTCCTAAAGCTTGGACATCTGCTCCGAGGGGACGCACACTTGTAGTGGCACCATAAATAGGGTGTCCATGCCCATGCCAGGCAGTCATGACTTAGCAAAGAGTATGGGTGTGGGACCAGTGCTGCTGGTGAATCACTGGTAGAATGTCCAGCAACAGAAGTGACCAGAGGGACACCTGTGTGACCTCTCGCCCCTGTGGTCGAAGGGACTGTCAGACATGCTGCAGTCATTACTCCTCGGCTGGACAGTCTTCTCTTGAGTTATTCAAACGACTGTTCCACTCAGACATATCCAGACAGGAGACACACAGGGAAATACACATTTAGTATGGAGACAAAAAGTGATACATACTCCTCTACACAGCTCTGTCAGGGAGGGTGCTTTTACCAATAAATTCAAATGTTACTGGATGGCAGATAGCAGTTTTGTAACATGTATCACACACTGAAAAAGTCACGGCAAGTCTGACCAACTGGTGCAATTTGTCATGGTTACATTTCTTCACATTTGTAGCTTGGTCTAAACATCCCCCCACACCCCAAACTATTACTTTAAACTTTTAAAAACAACCAAAATATCAATCAGTGTTAATGGTTTGCAACATGTGAGAGGTATTTGCATTGCCCTATTGACATCCACTAAAACTTAGTCTTAGTAGTAATTTATTTGTGTCAGTAGTAGTTCTTGAAAGGCGGATAACGCCAATGGCTTTGTGAATGAATGTCAGAAATTGAATGCGTTTGCAGCAGTGGCAAAACTTGGAATGTAATATTTAATATATACATATGGTGAATGTTAGTGTGTGTTTACTTAAGTGTTTCACTATATGTTTGAGTGTGAGATGAGGCAGGTTTATTTATATAGCACTATTTAAACACAAGGGAATTCAAAGTGCTTTACAGAGGCATAGAAGTGTGTTAAATAAAATACATTAAGAAAACATTAAAATTGCATTTAAAAGACATGAGGAAAAAAGAGAAAAAACATAATCAGACAATAAAAATAACCAAAAGCAGGCTAATAAACAGTTGCAGATTAGAAAATGAGTTATGTTATTGGAAACCTACAGTGAACAATAATGTTTTAAGCCCTGATTTAAATGATTGAACAGTTTTAGCAGAGCTTGTTCCACAGATGGGGAGCACAGAAACTAAATGCTGCTTCAACTTGCTTGATTTCTGCTTAGTGAACCTGTCCCAGATAACCTGAGAGGTTTGGATGTTTCGGATCGTAGAAGTAAATCTGAAACATACTTAGCCCAGAGGCCATTTAGTGCTTTATAGAAAAGTAAAAGGATTTTAAAATCTATCTTTTTACACACAGGAAGCCAGTGAAGTGATTTAAGGAGCGGTGTAATGTGCTCCACTTTCTCGGTGTCAGTAAGGACCCGAGCTGCAGCTGTCTGACTGATTTCTTACTTACTTTAGTTGTACACTTTGAGTGTAGCTGATATGTGACCCTGACACATCTCATCTCTTCCTGTTTTGAAATGCAACAAGTACTACAAATGTTTCTACAATTTACAAGGTTTACATTGATACAACTTTGACATTCCTACAGGTTCATCTTTCATGATGGCCAGTGTGTGTATTTTTACCAAATGTAACAACCAAATGTACATCCCCCAAAAGGAGATGTGGCTTCCTATTGTGCCTGTATATCTGGCCTCTCTTTGAGCAATGCAATGATTATTAATTTGATTACGCCATTTTCAACTCCAGGCTCATCGTCAGGGGGACCATAAGTGGGACTGATTACCCAGGGCCTCAATGGGAGGGGGGCTCTGAGAAGCCTGGAATGAAAATTTTGGTTTTGTTTGCCATGTCTTACTTCTAATTATTTTTGTGCCATAAGTAAATTTAAATTGGCTGAATAAATTGGTTGAAAGACTGAACTTTGTATTAAAGAAATGGTGGAAAACTTCTGACGCTCCTCATACCCGTTAAAGGTGTGAGATGGTTTAGTCTGCCCCTGCACTGGGATTCATCTCTGAACGCAGCTGGAGCAGACTGAGACACATATATACAAATTGCAAACTGTAAATAAATAGATTAATACATTTCAAAAGGTGTATGGGAGAGACATGGAAGAAGAGAGGAAGGATGGGGGCCCACAGAGCCCAGAACTTCGTGCTACGCCATAGGGTGTCACCAGTCATCTCCAATAAATAGGGCAAATTCAAAATCTTAGTACACAAACTATGATGCAGCAGATAATTTAGCGCACATATCTTCATTTGTAGTGTTTCAAATGAGCCAGAATACTATTTGCAATGTGCCAGTATCCTTTAGTTCTCCAAAGCCGACATCAGAGCGGTAGGACAGAACTTTCCCGAGCTCCTTAAACACTCCAACAAAGTGCTTAACAGTTCCTCTGTAAGGGCATGTCATCCCCAAACAAGCTGTCCATACTTCAGTGAGGGCTCAAGGTGAAAGGCCAAGCTGTAAAAGTATCTGGGAAAAGCCTCTAAAACAGTTAATCTGTGTGTGGTGTCATCGCTCAGCCTGTCAGAAAAAGCACTCATTGGTCTAATTGGTAACACGACACTTTGGTGTTTCTGCATCTTGGTCTGGTTAAAACATTAGAACTGTGGCAGATACTTGGTGGGGCCACTATCCAAGACACACAGTTATCTTAAATTCAGATTGAAGGACAGGACAAGACACTGATATGTATGAAAAGGAAGTGGGTGGAATAAGAAATATGGTTTGCTATCCGGTGCTTGTAAGCTTCTCTGACTTCCTCTTGATGTTTTATAATCTGGAAAACAGTGGACGAGCCAGACGCTGTAAATATTCCAGGCTCAGCCCAGACCGAGGGGGGTCAGGGGCATGCTAACATGCCTAAAATCTGTACATCATTTGGGAAAAACATGTTAGTTACCAAGAGGAAAAATCATCCAGGAGAGCCTACATCCTAGTTTGTATCCAATTCTTTCTCCAGCTATCTTCATCCTTCTAAAACCATAACACAACAAATGACAAGGATGACTAATTTTCACTCCTGCTGCTCAAAAAGAGGCAAAAAATTACCTGATGTTACTGGTCAAAGTTTCACTAAGCCTGTGAAATACATCAACATCTACAACAGAAGTGTCAAACATACGACCCGTGTTCCAGAGCCTGCCCACTAAAGGGTCCAATCTGGTCCGCTTAATGACTCAACTGAGGGAAAAACTGCAGAGAAGCCACTGATTCAAATGTTTCAATTAAATATACTGCTATTCCTATTCGTCCAAATGAACCAGTCCACAACACCTTGCAAGGACAATAAGAACAGAGAAGAACACAAGTCTGGTGTTATTTTTAGCTGAGAGATCAGGATTGCAGCTACGAAAGCTAGCTACTTTATTGCTAACAAATTAGCATCAGCATCGAAGCCACGCTCTGAGAGTGAGTTTGCTGGGAAACATATTGCTGAAATTGCACTTATTTTTCTATCCTCCTTCAGCCTTCATCTCAGGCTGTTCATCATTTGTTTTGTAGATAGATTGTTCATTAATTGTGAACGCTTTCTGAATGTAAGTTACTTTTAACGTTCCTTCTTTACACTCAAAGAGAGGGGAAAATTTGAAGGCTCTATTTGTTTACAGGTTATTATGCAATGGTTTTACTGATGCGGCCCACTTGAGATCAAATTGGGCTGTATGTGGCCCATGAACTAAAATAAGATTGACACCCCTGATCTACAAGATGGATGGTGCCAAGTTTTGTATAAACACTCACAGCCTTCACATGATGCATCCTAACTGGCGACCCTCTGACTTTTCCTCCAGTTCCCCCTTGAGGTTCACTTTTTTGGTTTTTAGTGAAGTATTTAAATTAACTATTGGATGGGCTGTCATGAACTTTGGTACACACATTAGGTGCATTTACATCCACTTATAATCTGAATAATAGCCCAATCAGAATTAAAATGCCTCATGTAACCACCTCAAATGGTAGAGACTGGCCCCATCTGGCCTGATTGGAAGGAATTTTCAATCGGAGAAGGGTGGTGTTAACCTTTGGTAATATTTTGAATAGGAAAACATTAACACTTAACCTATCATCTCTCTCTGGCTGGAAAAAATATTTTCTTTCTGTGCATGGTTGCTCATGGTATACATCATGGACAACACAGAGCATGATGTAAACATTAATGGCGTCCTACTTGGCTGAACTCTAACATTGGCTAGTTTAGTGGTGCTAGGTGAGTCAGCAGTAGACGCACGCTTCCTTCTGCACAGTGATACAAGTGGCGGGTGTAGTTTGGTCGGAAGAAAATAGTTCCTACATGAAACTGCTCACAACAAGGTCTGTGGATTATCTTGAGTAGTTGGGTCATGATTTCTTGGAAAGAGACATTGCTGTTGAATTTTTGAGATGTATTTTTGGCGCTTTGAGCACCAAAGCAGACATCTCTGCAGCTGATATCTCCAACACTTGGCAACTCACACCAAAACAATCTAGATGGATAAATAGCACCACAGGTGAAGTTTTGATTTTGGTGTGAACTATTCCTCGAACATATTCATCCTAAATATCCTATCGTTCATTTGGTGACAATAGCACTGTGTGCTGGATTTGTGATTTTAAGTTTGATGAACTTGCACTAAAGCTCACGCTGGTCTGCACCTCGCTGTGTGCGTTCTCTAAGTTCGAAAAAGGTGCTCGTGTTACCCAAAGTATACACAAATCAGGCAAATCTAGAATGTGCTATACTTGGAAATACAACTGTGATGCAGCTGTTATTGATGTTGAGGTTAAGTGACAATGCAGAATGCATGCTATGCCTTTGGAGGTCTGAGAGCCCGTACATGCAGAAGTCTTGAGTATGGAAGTAGACAGCGATCGGGATGAATTTGTGTGGGTGACATGCACTGCTGGAATGTGAGTGTAAACATCTCTGTGAGAGTGGAGATGACGATGGCTACAAAAAGTTAAATAGGTAGGGGTCGAGAATATAGAACGGGCTAAGATTAGCCTGCCCTCTGACTCGGCCAGCAGATGCCGGCCATGGTTGCCATTCCTCTCTGCACTGTCCAGCAGCATGCCAAAGGCTCAGTATATCAGATCACCCGCCCCAAAGACAAGGCAGGGATCAGAGGCCATTCACAAAATATTCACATTTATCCACTATCTATTATTCGGGTTATGTATTTATAGGTTACTTAAAAATCTACTGTAACAGGTCATTCATCAGTATCCACTTATATCTGAATGAAAACACAAAGACAAATGTTACAGACAAAGCTGTTTGGCACGTTCATGCATCCACATTTATTTCTGCGTTTATGGGTTTTGCCTTTGAGCTGTTAAACATATGGGAAGTAATGCTGAATCCGGTGAATTCCCACAGAAAAGAAGGAAGCAACTTAACGGAAATGTATATGCTTATGCGTGGGTGGGTGTTTTGTTGATGCACTTGCATGTATATCAGCTAGTGTGTTTGTGGGAGAGAGAAAGCATGTATATGAGTGTGTCTGAGGAATTCCTACAGCGGAGCAGATCTGTAAGGTGACCCCAAACTCCCAGTCAGGTGCAGAGCTCGAGCATAAAGGGGAATTTGTGAGTGTGAGTGGGAATGCGGGTGGGAAAGCACAGGATCTAAATCCATAGTCGACAGCTGTTGTGTGTGTGTGTGTGTGTGTGTGTGTGTGTGTGTGTGTGTTGTGTGTGAATGTAGTCAGCAATGTGGTGAATGAGAGCTTGTGAAATGAGCATGAGTGTTTGTGTTTCCTGGTCCTGGGATGAATTTGCGCGCAGATCAAAGGGAGCTGACAAAGACGCGTATTAGTGTGTGAAACCTGACGCTGTCTCCCTGCATCCCTTCTGCTCTGGACAATCCAACATTACAGGCCGCCTCGGCGCTACAGCTAGCATACAGCCATTCCTTCAGACCACTGGGAATGTTACAGCACAGAGGGAGACTCCTGTTAAACAGCTGCAAATATCTATAATGACATAATTTGTCCTCCCTGAATGAGAGTTACTGGAATCAATAAATATACTTCATGTGAACTGACTACTGACAGACACTATAGCTCCATGTTTGAATGTTCCTGTGACTTTCCTTTGTGAGTTTCATGCTGTACTTGTTTCCTTCAGGTGTGGAGCTCTGCAGAACCTCATCACGAAGACAAAGAGCAACATCCTCAGGCCCTTTACCCATGGAGAAAAGGCAAGGGAGTGGTCAGGGTGAAGAGGGACTGGATCATCCCTCCAATCAGAGTGCTGGAGAATAGCAAGCAGGTTCCTGAAGACCTTGTCCAGGTAACAAATGTTAAATTATAGCTTTTTACTGCAGTTTTTTTTTTTCTGTGGACAACTGCTGTGTCATTTCTGGTATAAATGCACTAAACAAATAAGTTACCAAGTTTTCTAATCTCTCAAAAAACAATCAGGTGCCCATATGTTCATTGAAACAGGATGGGGGACAAAGTCTACAATCCTCGTTCTGGATAAAAATCAATTCAAACATTTATTAGAAGATAATACAGAGATTTCTTCTGATAGAATCATTCATACATTCATTACCCATAACTGCTTCTCAGGGTTAGGGTTAGGGGGACTGGACCAATCCTAGCTCTCCCCATAGAGTGACGAATCAAATCAAGTTAGCTAGACATGCTAACGTTTGCAGTTTACAGTAGGACTGGGACACATACCATTTCTTTTAATGCTTGGAAAACGCCAGGTTGCTGCTGGGTGTTACTGTTGTGCCTACTCTGTGACAGTTTTCATAATCAGAACCGTATCATTGCCAGCTTACCAGAAATCTGGAGTTCAGAGCTGATCTTCCTCCAAAAGTTGAAGTTTGTTTATCTCAGGATGACGCGATGGCATCACTCCCACTTTTAAGCCCGGCTTGCATATGTTGACAATGACAACATTGGATTTAAGGGTGAAAAAACTCACGAGTAGCAGCCATTAGAGCAGACAAACATGCTGTTTGATTCATTCCTTACACTTTTACTCATGCATTTTTGGTTTTGGAAAGGTAAAAAAAATCACCACCTTCCAAAGTCTCACTTTCTGTCTTACTGCAAGCCCCAAACATGCTGCTTGTCTGCTGTGCACACTGTAGTTATGGTTGCTGAGCTTCAATCAGACAATCTCTGTGTGGGCAAGGGGTTTAGCTAACAGTTAGTTGTAACAGTGCCATGCCATTGTTCCAAAAGCCCATTATTCGGAAACTCCAATAGTCCAAAAAATATCCCGTTGAACTAAAATCCTATTCCTCCAACAGCCTGTTATCCCTAAAGCAAACACCCGTGGCTCCGAAAATACACACTCTCCCTGCAGTTAGAAAGGTTCATGGCCTGCCAGGCCGTGATATTTTATTTCCTGCTGTGGTGAGGACATGACCCACCACACTCTACCTCTGACTGGCTCACCCTGATATACTTAACCTAACTCTCACCAGTCTCACTCCTCTACCTTAAGCTAACCACCCCAACTATGACGGCAATGAACAGGTCATGCCTTTCACAATAGCAGGAAAAAAATTGGCACCTGGAAAGGTAAATTCATTTTGTCCCCAGATCCAGTTTGCGACACCAGCACACAATGCACTAGACCCTGATTCCTGTCCCTGTGGGTGGTGGGCCCACAGGGCGACAGCTCCATGTTATTCTTTCGGGCTGAGACCGACCAGTCCACACTACCTAAGGCCCAGTCACCAGACGCTTGCCGGCCAAAATGAGTTTCCTCTGAGGGGTGTCTGGGCTCAGCCTTAGAGATAGGGTGACGAGCTCGGACATCCGGACGGAGCTCGGATTAGAGCCGCTGCTTCTTCGCATTGAAAAGGGTCAGTTGAGGTGGTTCGGGCATCTGATCAGGATGCCTCCTGGGCGCCTCCAGCTTGAGGTGTTTAGGGCACGTCCCACTGGTAGGAGGCCCCGGGGCAGACCCAGAATACCCTGGAGGGATTACATATCTCATCTGGCCTAGGAACGCCTTGGGGTCCCCCGGGAGGAGCTGGAAAGTGTTGCTGGGGAGAGGGACGTCAGGGGTGCTTTGCTTGGCCTGCTGCCCCCGCGACCTGGCTTTGGATAAGCGGTTGAAAATGGATGTATGAACCTGGAAAGGTCCAATGACATAATTCTGCACAATAATAAGCCATTTGCTTCTTTTTTGGAAATTTTGTATTTTGGGAGCTATGGGCATTCGTTTTTTTGATCCAGTGGGACATTTTTCAGCTATTAAAGTTTTGCAATTTTGGGTTGTTGGAACAATGAGCTGTCCACATTGTGACTGAGGAATCAAAAGGAGGACTTAGTAATGAGAGTAGATGCCAACGTTTTACCCAACGATGTGCATGAACAAATAAATTAATATAATGCAAGTAATAATAATAGACTATGATGAAGATTAGATTGCTATAAGAGAAGGGTCTTATTGTATTTTTCTTCTAAAGACTAAATCCTCATCATGAAAATGCTTCAATGAGCTGATTGCTGATTGTGTGTCACCCTCAGACGGTAAACCATGTTGTATATACTCCCCTCAAACACAACACCATACAGCCATGTGCTGCTGATTGTAACTCTTCATCACAGATGATCACACAGCACAGTCCAAGTGTTTAAAAGACATGTGAAATGTAAATGTTGTGTTAAGGCTGTCACAGGCGACCACTATGTGTGTAAATCCTACCGTACAAGGAGAGATATAGAGCTTCTTTTACACGGTGATGAAAATGCAGCGGAGACCATATGTGAAAGAAAGTGGAAACAAAATGCATAAAATATAGTCTCCTTGCTATTATTAGTCCAGAATATCATTTCCTGCCATAAGTCAAAGGCCTCTGAGAGTTTAAACACTCTTGTCTCAAGGTCCCTATCTGTCAACATACTCACATCTGGCGTTACGACACATGGTTTACAATCCTCCCTCCACCTTCCCATGAGGTTGCGATGATCACCAACTCTATCTTCTCTCTCTGTCTAGATCAAATCGGACAAAATCTTTACAGGTGAGGTGATCTACAAGTTGGAGGGACCGGGGGTGGACCAGGAGCCCAAGAATCTGTTTGAGATTGATGATAAAACGGGAGTAATCAGGAGCAAGCGGCCGCTGGACAGAGAGAGATACAACACCTTCACGGTGAGAGAGCATTTATGGGTGTAACATTTTAAATCACACAGACACTTAAAATGTGTTTTAAAGCTCAGTCAAACAGAAACGCTTAACACACAAGCCACAGTGCACTCAATGAGACTTCACACAGTGTGTTTCAGGGCTTAGGTTCATGTTTTTGTCTCAAAGCATATATCAATGTCTCAGACACCAGCACAAACAGCCAGAGGTCAGTTTCCAAGGGCCTTAATGGGCATCCTGGGAGATACTTCAGAGTGTCTCAGACCAGATGACCATGATGTAACCAAGGAAGTCGAACCAAACATCCTGCACATTTCTTTCCGTCATTTCCCGCATGTGTTGTGCGCAGACACAAATACCCAATGTTACCTTGAATGCTCCATGTTTTCCTCAGCAAAATGCACAACATCTGTCGTGAATAATGGTAAGAAACTACAATCCCATGAATACGGTGTATATTAAGAAACATTTGTCTGCTCTTTATTTGTGTGTTTGTGTAGCTGAAAGCCTTTGCACTGTCGCCAAGTGGAGAGAGACTTGAGAATCCAACCACCATAGAGATAGTGGTGCTGGATCAGAATGACAACAGACCCGCCTTCACCCAGAGCCAGTTTGTTGGCACCGTCTCTGAGTTCTCAGTCCCAGGTACATCCACACATGGCATACTGTATGACCAACTTTTTATTTCCTTATCTTATAGAATCACAATGTTCCAAAAATAAATCTTAAATTAACTTCCTGACATAGTTTAAGAGTTTATTAAGTAGCTCTGAACATCTTTCCCATGTTGTTTGAAAACCGTCTCTTTCAGTGTGTCGTTGAAACAGTACAGTACACTGTGCAACACTTTGAAGCTGCTATAGCCTTTTAGGGTCGACATCACAATGATGTCAATTTATTAGTTGGAGGCAGAACACGACTCACCATCAGTAGGCTCCACAGGAGTCTTAAAATGCCTTCTTGTTGTGTTACTGGGTGCCAGCTGCCACTGCCTGTCAACAAAAACAAAGACAACTAGGGTTAAATGCAATAAGACGAAAGGACTGGATGGACACGATCATCAAAAATGCTCACATGTGCAGTGCACACTTCATATCAGGTCAGGGAAAAAGTATTTGCTGTTGTAGATGAATAACGTTATGTGGATTATCACTGCCACCTCATCAGAAATTGGGGAGGTATTAAGAGGAATATTAGATTTCTCCACAATGCTAACTTTTTATTGCATTAGCTAACGTTAGCTTCGATAGCAAAACAAAGTGGAGGTAATCGTTCAAGTGTCGTCTCTCTTTGTAAGATTGGCATAGTTATCAATCCATCCCACCTTCAGCAATCCCGTCAAATCATCCATCCACTGAGTGAGAGCATACAGGTCGGCCAGTCTGGTCCCATTGGTCAGTGTTTACTTATTCAAGTAACACTCGTGGTCCCGGAGAGTGACTGACCTGACATGCTGCGTTCATGAATTCAGTCTGATGCTCTACACTAAAATAAGAGTCCTGTTGGTCGAAGAAATGGATCGTTATATTTCTACATGAATTAACAAACGGTTCAGTTAAACACACATTCACTTCACTCTGCACTCTAGTGCTCCGTCTCCCCAGACAGAGTGTTTAGAGTGTGCTCTGTTCCTTAGAGAGTGCGGTGCTCTGGATATCCAAACAGTACATCCTGACAGCATTATGAATTTACTAACGGTGAAGTTTGCGCCAGAGTGAACTCCAGTACTCGGAATGAATATTTCTGAACACATCACTCACATTACTCTCCTTCACTGTCTACAACAAAGGTGCTAACAAGTTTGCCAAATCAACTTACATCAAATATGTCAGTTTTGCATTAGTAGCTTGTCTCTGCTGCCCCAAAGTGGCCAAAAAACAGTTTTGCAGGTTCAAAGTTTTAGTATGCTACATTCAGAGCACTGATACAGCAGCAAGCCAATATTTGCCATGTAAAGACATGGTAGCATGATGGAATTAAGCAGAGAATAAAGTCACACTCTGTGTGTGTTCTGATCCGAGCTTCTCTGTTCTTTGTTTTGGTAGCCAGGTTGGCTGAGCATGCCTGTTAGTGCATGTGAGTACCTGTGTGTGTATCCCATTGGCTAGCTAATCGCCGCCGCTCTGCATTGCTCTCATACATCGGTTACCGCAGATAAGGCCGTCTAAACCCACTGTGGCAACAGCGTCTGCAGAGGCATAGCGTAGAATTGCTCCTGTGTTTTAGTTATCTTAAAAAGAGAGACTATTTACACATATTTCCATAAAAAAATTACAAAGTTTCAAATATAGTTATAAAATCTTTGTTCAACTGGGGCATCGGTGGCTTAGTTGTAGAGCAGGCGCCCCATGTACAAGGCTGTTGCCGCAGCGGCCTGGGTTCAACTCCAGCCTGTGGCCCTTTGCTGCATGTCACTCCTCACTCTCTCTCCCCTTCGCACTTGTCTGTCCTATCCATTAAAGGCTGAAAATGCCCCCCCCCCCCAAAAAAAAACTCTTGTTCAACTGAAAATTACCCTTCCGTTTTCATTCCTTTAAGGGTGATGTTGACTGATAAAATATAAATTCTGTGACACCATGATAGCGTAAAACAGTTATATTTTCTGAAACTGTTATCGTACCTTGAAAATCTCATATCGTTGCATCCCTCCTCAGCACATATGTCACATATCTGTGATTCCTACTGACTGATTTTTCCAGCTGACCAAAGCTTTCAATTATTTTTTGACAGGCACCTCAGTGATGTCAGTGTCAGCCACTGATCAAGATGACCCGACGACAGAAAACGCTTTCCTGAGCTACTCCATCATCAGTCAGGAGAGCATTCCTGCCAACGCTGTTACCAAGACTATGTTTGGCATCAACAACGAGACAGGAGCCATCTACACAAGAGATGTAGGCCTGGACCGAGAGGTACGATGCAGGTTAAGATACAGACTTTTGCAGATCGTCACAGTACAGTCCATGTCACTAAAACATGCTGTATTCTGTTCTAGGTGGTGAAAGGTTTCCGGTTAAAACTTCAGGTTGCTGATATGGGGGGCATGGGACTGACAGCTGAAGGTGTGGCAGTCATACATGTAGCTGACATTAACAACCACGCCCCACAGTTCAGCCCAGACTCGGTGAGTGTCACACAACAACACATGAGGTGTTCTGATTTAAAACACTGTAGTTATAATGTTAGATGTTGAACCTTTTGATTTGTGTTGTGTGTGTGGTGCGTGTAGTACAGTATGACAGCAGTGGAGAACTGGAAGGACTATGAGATCGGCCGGGTGAATGTGACAGACAGAGATGATCGTGGAACAGGAAACTGGGAGGCCAGATATTTCATCACCAACGACCTTGACGGCAACTTTGCCATCAGTACGGATCCTGCCACCAACGAGGGCGTTCTGACAGTGGTGAAGGTAACATCTACGTATCTAATGAGTTTTGAAGTGGTTGTGGTAATGCTATATGTCATGGGTCCATTAGTTCCTAATAATTTCATAGGCTTTCTAGAAGGAACTATGCAGAGTTAACTAAGTTTATAAGCAAAGAAATTTTGAAGAGAGGATTGCTTTATTTAAATCCTAAGAGATATTCATTTCTGATTCATTTCATATCAGAAACGTAATTCTCCATATGTGTTGAAATGTATATTTATAAGTAAATAAAACTGACCCTTTTTGCCTTTACAGCTAACCTTCCATACACTGTTAACAATAGCATTAAACTGTAATTAAATAACTGTAGATGGACCAGTTGACTGACTATTTTACCTGTAATTACTGTCAAGTTGCTTGGGTCTGTCTAGGAACCTTACTATCAATTTATAAGGAGATATGGAAAGGAGAGCATCTGGCTAAACAAAAATATGACCATTCCAAAGAGGGTGTTTTTAAGCAAGTTATTTCTGCACCCCATGACTGTCCAGTTAGTGTTCGTAAGAGTACAGCATTTATAGTATATCAAATATACATCCCAGTGAACTTTTTCTTGACCCATACGTTTTTTATATCGTATCTTTACAAAAACATAATATCTTCTCCAATGTTAACTGATCTATTTTGGGACACAGGAATAATTTAAATTTTCAAAATGGGTGGCATTGTCCCTTAAAGTCAAAATGTGCATTGAGGCCTTCAGACACAACTCAGCAGCACCATCTAGTGGCTGACGTTAGAAACTACAACTTACTCAGACAAAAATGCTTTTTTTTACCTTTCCTATATTGTTACAGGTCAGTAAATGACTGCAATTTGAGTTTTTGTTAAAAGTATAAATTCATCATTTACTATATATTTTATCAAAGTACAGTGCATGGCTTTCCCTCCACAAACATTTTCTTTCTGCGCTGATTTGTCATGCAGCCTCTGGATTACGAAGCACAGCACGAGTATGTCCTGATTCTGACGGTGGAAAATGTCAATCGTCTAAGCAGCAAGGCTCCCAACCTGCCCGTGAGCACGGCTACAGTTATGGTGACTGTCGTGAACGAGAACGAAGCTCCACGTTTCAGGGAGGACCCCATACACATCGTGGTCCCTGAGTCTGTGGCTCCTGGGACTTTGCTGAAAGGCAACATCGCCTTTGACCCTGATAACTCTGACCTGAGGTATGACGCAGCCACAAAGTATAAGGAGTGTGTTTCAATGATTGCAGGTAAACTAAGTGGACTGTAACTTTTTCTCTGCTCTCCATGGCAGGTATGAGATCAGCAGAGATCCTGAGAGGTGGCTGGACATCAACAAAGATACAGGAGACATTACTGCCAGGAGAACATTCAACATGCGATCTCCAAATGTTAGAAAAAATATCTACACTGCTGTTGTCAAGGTTACAGGTGTGTATCTACTTAAAGGGATATATTGGCAGAAATTGAATATGTAACTCTTGAACAATTAACGCGTAAGGAGTTCTAACTGGGAGAAAATTTAGCTGGGTGCAGTCTGCAATCCTCACCACTAGATGCCACTAATCCCCATAAATCTTACACACTGCTCCTTGTATCTGCCAACCACATGGCAGGCTTGGTCTCCTGTGTAAGAAAATCTGAATAGAAAACACTTTGAGAAAGATAAACAATCATGGATGAGTGTTTTGGGAATGCTTTTGAATAAGCTGCTGTAAACTAATGTGGCATCACTGTGTATTTCTGTTCTCTTGGGTAGATGCTGATGGTGTGTCGACCTCCGCCACAGTGTCCATCACACTAAAGGAGACCAATGACTTCCCCCCTCAGCTCTTCCCTCTGAGCGGCACTATATGTAAGGATGCAGGCCGGAGGAGTTCTGGTCTGATTGTCACTGCGGTGGATGAAGACCTTCCTCCCCATGCTGCACCCTTCGCCTTTGAGATGCCTGATGATCTGTCAGTCAACTGGACTGTTATTCAAGTCAACGGTAAGGAGAGGGCATGAGGGGTGAGGATGGAGCAGGAGGTGTTTTCATGTCATCTCCTAACCTCACACCATTCTCCTTCTCTCTTCAGATACTCACGCTGTGCTTCAGCCCCTCGTAGAGCTGGAAACAGGAGAGTACGCCGTCACAGTGTCTGTGTCAGACTCCGGCAGCCCAGTTCTGAGTGCTTACGCTCAGGTTAATGTCACCGTGTGTCTCTGCGACTCCTTCGGAGACTGTAAGTCTGAGGCCGGGGCTGTCCTGGGCTCCACTGTGGGGATCAGCTTCATCGCTCTCATCATCATCATGGCCTGCATTGCGCTCCTACTGTGTAAGTCTCATCGTGTGTACACCACTCAGTCTCACAAGAATAAAGGAAACATGACCCTAGTTCTGGATATTTTCAAAAATGTGTAAGAAATTATGTGATGTGTTTTTTGGGCCAGAAAAAGAGGCGTGTATAGGCTAGTTTAAAGCATTTTTTAAAGCAGAAATACCATAAAATCGAAGTTTTCGACATGTCAAAATGTGACAATATTCTGCTTTTTCTGTTTTATATTATTGTAAATGTAATATTTTGGGATTATTTACTGTTGGTCGGATAAAACAGGACATTTAAAGATGTGACTTTGGACTGTGAAAGACTGGGATAGACATTTTTCACTATGTTGCAAGATTTAACTGGAGACTAAACGATAATAAATTAAGAAAGTAATTAAGGAAGTAATCAGACAATTAGTCAATAAAGAAAAAAAACCTTAGTGTCTGACATTTAACCAGATAAACACTCTTTAATATACACATGATGGTTTCCTTCTGTTTGATCACAGTGCTGCTTCTTCTGGCCGTGGCGATGACCAGCTGTGGGCAACGCCACCATATCAAGAAAGGAACAGGTCTGCTAGTCGGGGAATCAGAGGACGACGTCCGAGACAATGTTTTCAACTATGATGAGCAAGGCGGGGGAGAGGAGGACGAGGTAAGGCTGCAAGTCAAGGAGAGAGAGGTCCAAACAAACCCTGTAGTCAAGTTTATGCATGTCATCACTGTATTCTCAAAGCACATGCAAAGTCTGTGGCCTCTTCCTCTCACCTTGCAGAATGCCTTTAACATCGACCTCCTGTGGAATCCCCATGATGCACCTTCCACCCCGGGGTCTTACTACCCTGGTGTTCCTCGAGGCAAGCAGCCCCTCAGGAGGGATGCCCCGCATAACCTGCCCTCACCTACTTACCCACGGAGGCCTCCGGCAGATCCCACTGACATTGAGGACTACATCAATGATGTGAGCGGCTTCTATCGTGATCCCATTTGAAAATGTCTTGTAAAGGCCAAAACCATAATCCAAAGTTATTTAAAAGGGTATTCCCACCACTAAAATTCAAAATACAAAACAGAAATTTACTATCACTCCCAAAGTCAATCGACAGGCCTGATAGACAGACTAACACTGAACAACTGAATCTAGGTTTTGCATGTTTTCTGATGCTGTTAAAGGTCCAGTGTGTAGGATTCAGGGGGAGATATTGGCAGGAATTGAATATGTTATAATTAGTATGTTTTCTTTAGTGTATAATCACCTGAAAATAAGAATCTTTGGGTTTTTGTTAACATGGCAATTTGCATCACCATTTTTCTACAGTAGCCCAGAACTGACAAACCAAACACTGGCTCTGAACAGGGTTGAGTCATGGTTTCATGTAAGCCACTGTAGTTAGCAAGCCCAATGCTACGAGAGCTTTGGAAGAGCACTGATTTTTTTAATGTGCTTTATTCAGTGTTGTACCAGTTTAAATCACTGGTCTTTTTGTTTTGGAGAGGATGATATCTCTGTGGATAATTAAGCTCCCAGTGAAAACCTCCTGAACGTCTGGACATTAAGTTATCAGAGTAGAAAGGTGAGCACATGTTAGCAGGTGTTGGGCTAGTGGCCTGTCTGCAACGTGCCAAACAGCTTAGCAGAAACACTGATTTGTAATGTGAAACTGCTTTATTTAGAGTTTGTACCACATTAATGCACACTGAAGAACTGTGAGAAGTTTCAGCTGGTTGCAATTTGCAATCCTCACCACTAGATGGCACTAATCCCCATAAATATTACACATTGTCTCTTTAAAGGTTTGTTTCGAATTTAAATTATAAAAATATATACTTAGAGGCAAACAACACTGATTTTGCACAGTGAAGTCTGTTTACAGGTCTTGGGGAGTGCTACTGCATATGTGGGGGGAAAAAAGTTGTATAAAGCCTTTCTGACTCCAGAGTACAGTTATTATAGTATGGAAATGTTAATTTGTTTTATTTTTATTTAGTCCTTCGATTTGGTTTAGATTTCAGTTTAGCTTTGGTCAGTTATGGGAGGTTTTTTTATCATTTATTATTATTTTTCTTATTTATTTATTATTCTATTATTTTTCTTATTTATTATTGTTTTTATTATTCATTTATTATTTTTCTTATTTATTATTATTTTATTATTATTCGTTTTTTATTTTATTTTTTATTCTTATTTTTTTAAAGAATTGACTCATTTTAGTGTTTTTTTATTTAGTTTTAATGTTAGTTCTTCAGGTATTATGAGGAAAGCCTTGATTTATAGAAGTGTGATTATGTCCATTTACAATTAAATCAGCATTCCTTGAGGATTTGCTTTACCCTTATCAGCTTCATAAACCTTGTAACTGTTCTACCCTCAGGGCCTGGAGGCTGCAGACAACGATCCCAATGTGCCTCCATACGACACAGCCCTGATCTATGACTATGAGGGAGAGGGCTCTCTGGCAGGCAGCCTCAGCTCCATCGCCTCAGGCAGCTCTGACGGAGACCAGGACTACGACTACCTCAACGACTGGGGACCACGCTTTCAGAAACTGGCTAACATGTATGACCCACGTTAAGGTGGACAGCACCCCACAGAAATATGACCCGTGTGCTCCACCACCAGTTAGGGACACAGATCATGCCTCAGGTGTTTTTTTTCTGGACACATTTGAAAAGATTTTAAGTCCAGGACGAGATTTGAGATGTGCCAAGGAGAAATAAATGCGATATAAAACCACAGGCCTTTAATCGAATGTGCCTTAGGTTTTATTGACGATCATCTGGACACAAGTGATAAAATGGCTCTTTGCAAAGTTTTGTGGTGAGCTCAGGAGAAGTAAACGAGACAGTAAAATTGTGAATTGATCAGCAACGAGGAAAGAGAGGAGCCGTGCATGCTTCAAGGCAGAACAGAATGTGTGTTGAAATGATTGTCCATGTCTGGTTGTGTTTATCCTCAGACTTGGATCGCTCAGTAATGACGCATACAACAAGCCTGAGATTGTTTAAAAAAAAAAAAAAGTCTTTATGTATTTCTTTTTTTATATAAGTGATTATTTTATAAGGTAAATTTGCTTTGATATTGATTTTGTTTGTTTTTCTTTTTTTGATCACAAATCCTCCATTCCAGCATCTGTTGATCCTTTTTGGTAAAAAAAATATTACACAACAAAACAAACTGTACCACACAATATCCTGTAGTCACATAGTTTGGAGGTGAAGACTTTGAATTATGTTTTTTTTTTCTTTTTAATATGTTCATTGACTTTAGATTTTACCAGTGTCTACAGAATAAATGTAAATCTTTTATTTAGTGTGTGTATTGTTCATTTTGAAATAAGACCGTCACAGGCTGCACTAGGTTTACTCCCCTTCACTTTTTCACATTAGCTTTAGCTTTATGCTAAACATTTTTGAAAACTATATTGTTCCCACATCAATCTAAACAGGGCAAAAACAGAATTTTAGACACTTTTGTAAATGTATTAAAAAGACAAAACTGAAATATCGCATTAAAAGAAGTATTTGGACCCTTTACTACGACACTTCATATTTAGAGTAGTGGCCCTCCATTTCTCTTGATCGTCTGTGAGATGTTTCTGCAGCTTGATAAGATTCTACCTACCTCTACCTGTAATCGACACACACCTAGCTATAGAAGGTCTCAAAGCCGACAGTGCATATCAGAGCAAACACCTGCCTTCAGAGCATGGAAACAGGATTGTGTCCGTGCACCAAATGCACAAAAAAACCTCTGCTGCTCCTGCTTGAAGTTCTTAATTCTTAAATGGAAGAAGTCTGCAACAACCGGGATTCTCCCAAAGCTAGCCAACCGGGCAAACTGAGCAATCAGCAGAGAAGGACCTTGAGAGGTGACCTGGCTGAGCTCCAGAGGCCCTGTGTGAAGATGGGAGAAACTTGTCGGTGAAGATTCTCAGTCATCCAGGTCATGGTAATCGTAAGTGCTAATAGCTAGGCACATGGACTTGCTTGCGTTTCTTGAAGACATTTCGCCTCTTACCGAAGAAGCTTCTTCAACGGGAGAAACCTCCAGAAGGTCAATCCCACGACTGAAGTGTTCGGCCTCAATTCTAAGCAACATGTAAGAAAATCCAGGCACTGCTCATGAGCTGCATGAAAACCTGGTCCAGACTGGGCTGACGGTTCATCTTCCAACAGGACAATTACACTGAGCAGAGAGGACAGTAACCCTGCTTTGTGAGACAGACTCACATATTGCTTTGTACCAAAAAAAGACGGCAAAGGCTGACCAAATGATCTAACACTGGTAGGTCTATGGAGCCCTCAATCGTTACTGTCTGGGATAGTCTCTAATTCTATAGTTACGTATTTTGCGTCCAGATAAATGTCCCTACTTTCACTGTTCTGAAGTATGCAAAGAAGTGGACGAGACATTTTGTTGATTGCATGACCATAATTTCCCCTGTGAAACTTTTGCATGCTGCAGCTTCCTTGGCCGTGTCAGCAGATTTGATCTCAGAGGAAGAAAGGAGGAGCATGGAGGAGAAGGAAAGACACAAAGGAGAGCAAGACTGTGTCTGTTAAGCTTGCAGCCATCTGAAAATGGCTGCCCATCAAAGGTCCCCATCCAACATGACAGAGCTTGAGAGAATCTGCAGAGAAGAATTGCAGAAAATTCCTCAATCCAGGTGTGCAAAGCTTTATAATAATGGAGTACTGAGCGTCGGTGAAGGGAAACTTTATATCTAAGCTGCAACATATCAAATGTGAAAAAAGGGGAGGGGTGTGAATGCACTCTGTTGCCACTAAAATTAAACATCACAAAGGCAAACTCAATATTTAAATAAATTTATTTAATATTGAGCAACACCATCTTTTGGAACTTCATAATATATGAGGCAATGAAACCAATGCACAGTCCCTGATGCAAAGAACACACTTATTCAACCTATCTGATTTTAATACTCAGTCTCAGTGTCTTGTGGTCAGAAGTGTACAGTGTACATCAACATGACAGATGATTTGATATTTTAGCCATCTTTGAAAATGTAGTTTATTCATTATCGCGTCAGCCGTGTTAAAATAATGGAGCACAAACTGCAGTATAAATTTCCACAGAGATCTACTACACTGTTATAATTCTTTACTGACCCTAATATAACTGTGTAGATGTGAGTCCCCTGAATGAACGTGAATATTTGGTGCATGTCATCTCTGACAAAGTATAAGAAAATCACCCCTAAATTCAACCTTTGTCATTATCACATGACTTGAGCTACATATGGCTAACAGTTCCTCTGCTGTGTCATTTGCCAATTCTCAGAGTAATACATCCAAACCATAATATATGCCACAGTGTGTTTGCATTAAAATGATCCCACGTCAATTCAGCACAGTGTTTAGGAAACCTAAGACAGAGCATATCATTGTTGAGTGCACATACAGTGGATGTTGATTAGAGGGCTTTTCTGGACAATCAGCACTGCAGGCTGATTAGAGACATCCTGTTTAAATTGACTTGTTTTAGTGCTTCCGTGGCATGAGAATACGGCTGTGCAGCAAACATGAGAAAAATAATGGAATTCCTCCCGAAATAATCATTTTCAAAGTGGCACTGGCTTGTTCAGGCCTGTTTCACATTATCTTAATGGGTCAGCTAACTGGAAAACAAGTGTTCATTTGCACAAAACGTCCGCACGGAAACCGATTATTTCGCTTTTATATAAAGCTTCAAAGTGAGGAATCAATGCCAGGTTTTATAAAAACTGATGACCTCCACAAAATGCAGCAGCTGGAGAAGAATTATGAGACATTCGTTTAAAGGTCAGACCAGCTGCGGATTCACATCCTCCTCTCTGTGTTTACGGGGAGGAGGCGGAGTTTCGTCTTCTCCCGTGTCTTGTTTGTCTCTCTCGGCCTCCAGCCAGCTCTGTGGGACTATCATCTTCTTGGGCCCGTGGGGCGGTGGACCCAGCAAGGCTTCAATGTCATCGTAGTTCACCACCTCTCGTTCTAGCAGGGCATTGGCCAGCTGGAAAGACAGACCCCAACAAGGTGTGACTTATTAGAACTTGACACAAAACCAGATGGTAAAACAGAAGTGCTGCGCTCAATGAATGCAAAAAGCTACTGTCTAAACACACAACATGTCAGATCAAAGAAGGGGACAACTGACCAGTGTCAGCTTGTCTCTGTTGTCCAGGAGGAGCTTCTCTGTGTGCCTGTACGCACGGGCTATCAGCATCTTAGCCTCCTGAAAGAACAACACGTCAGATCTGTATTAAATAATCCATCCACTGTGGTCTAGGGAAGGTTAAAGGGGTAACTTCAGGATGTTTCAACCAGGACCCTATTTTCCCATGTTCTTCTGTCTAAGTGCACCGTCAATGTACGTCCTCTTAAGGCCAAAACACACCGACAGCGAATGCTACTCATAAAAAAATACGCCCATATTGTCTTAAATACACAGCACCACACCGGTGGCTGGCCGCACATTGGCACTCCTGGACGCACCACCCTGCGGCACTTTCCGCCACTGTCCTATTTCCAGCCTCACTGCCACCAGAATTAAATGCATTTTTCCCCACTTGCTCTCTGCTTCTATATACCAGCTCCCGTACCAGCTCTTCTTCTCTGCTCCTATGGCAGCTCAACTCCTCTCCTCACCAGAGAACCATGTAGCTGTTGGTGTGACTTGTGCGTGACAAAGAATGGATGAGGAGAAACTCGTTGATGAGGTCGAGAAATATTCCAAGCTAAACAACCCACAGTCCCATCATTATAAAGACAATGGCCAAAGAGATATTGCCTAGTCAGTCATAACTCTGGAGATTGCATCTTCAGGTGAGAAATCAAATTTGATCAGGGGCTCTCCACACATGATTTTAAGCTAACGCAGAGGTGGAAGAGGTACAGATCTTTAAGTATAAGTAGTATATACTTTGTGTGGTTGTCTGTTAACCAGCTGCATCACAACGCGTCTGGTGTGTACTTATTTTTGCAACTGACAGACTCAAATTCTTATGACGTCATTATGGAAAGGATCCCTACAAAGAGACCTTTTTGATGAGGCGACAGATGCTTTTAGTTTCACCAGCAACAGCCCTTAAACTTTCATCACCACGCCCACCAGACTCCATTTAAATTAACAGTAATTTTAGCATGTATAGAGCCTGCATATTTTCACACCTAACTGTGTAAATTAGGGTTTATTTCAACCAAACCAGAGTTGGTGGTTGTTTTAACAGTGGCCAGTTGAGCCAAGATGGCTTTTGTCAGTTTTTTTATATTTCTGTTGATGCCGAATAAAGTGTGTTTTATGATGACAAAATGACTATTTATCTAAATGGAGTCTGGTGGGTTTGGCAGTAATGATCTCGGGGCTGTTTCTGGTTTAACAAAATGGAGCTTTCTATTTAACAAAAAGGTCTGTCTCTGTAGGGATCCTTTCCACAAGTTGCCAGACACTTAGAATAATAATCTCAGCCCGTCAATACGAAAAAGTGGACTTTAGTGGGCGTAAATTGACGGCAAACTTGACCTGAGTGATTAGATTGCAGACTGTTTCGCTGCTACCACGTGCAGCGGTCTTGTTCAAAACTGGTTCAGTTTCAAAATTATTGTCTCCATTAGTCACTCAGACAAAAAAAACATGGTAAAACAGGGTCAAGGCTAAAATATACCAAAGTTACCCTTTAACAGGGATATCAGAAGTAGTCCTTTTTCAGAACACCTGTAACGTTAGGGCCTGCAGAAATGGTGGCAAAAGCTAAAAATCAGTACTTAAAGGTGATAGCTCAAACTCATGATGTCAACATTCACAGTGTGCTAATGTGAGCTAACAGAGAACTAATCCAATTTTAGAACCCACGTGGTCCATCTGCTGCTGCAGGCCCTGGCTGAAAGGACGGCGTCCAATGGCACCTTGCTGCTCCGTGTCTGGGAACGAGACCTGGCCGACGCTGTCACACATGCCGTACTGCTTCACCATGGAGTAGGCCACGCGTGTCACCTTACGCAAGTCATCCTGAGCTCCTGGGGACACACACACAGAGTGAGGATACTTCAATCATTGTTTTTAATCAGGTGCCAGGTTGCAGTACAGAGTATAGGAGAGTATTTATATTTAGATGTTCAGCAGTTTACTATTTACATACTAGGCTGACATTTCCAGAGTTTAGTGTTGATCAGAGTTTATGTTTGATCAGTAGGACAAAATATGTATATTTTTTTATTTATCAAAATAATGTGAATAATGTGAGTGTACCTGTTGTGACTTTGTTAAAGGTGATCGCCTCAGCAGCTCTTCCTCCCAGAGCCATACACATCCGC